TGCTGGTCTTGAACTCCTGACCTCAGGTGATCCTAGCTTGGCCTCCCAAGGTGCTGGGATTACAGGCGTGAGCCACTGCACCCGGCAAAAATATAAATCTTGATAGTGAATAAATCTTTCATTTCTTTGTTTTGTGTGTCACTGAAAAATGCAGATCAAGATTGATATATTCTCATATATGGGCATATGTATACATAGACATACGAACACCCATAATCAGGCATACATAATAACCTATGTTCATGCAAAATCAACCTGCTGATATGCTTGTATATGCACTCAGGTGCATAAATATAAACTCAAATCCACATATAGTTAATATACTTTCACACTCAGCTACCTGTGAGTTGCGTGCTTTAAACCTGGCTCACATCTTGTTTGCTTTCTCCTCTAGCTTCTTGTGCCCATGGAGACCTCCAGAAAGTTAGCAAACCCCTTGTGGTGCAGCTCAATTGGAGAGGCTTCTTATACAAGGCAGGTGCCTGGGGCTGAGACTCAGCACCCAATCCAGCCTCTTCCGTTTACTGGGTGGCCCCTCTATGTACAGATGGTAGGTGAGCCCTGAGTGACTTCCGCAATCAGTTTAATTTCAAATGCCTCCTACCCTGACCCAAAGGTTTCTTTGTAGCTCCAGGGCAGCTGCTTTTCTCTATTTTAAGTATGCTCCAAAGCAAACCTAGCCTAGGCCTGACAGGTCACCTCCTAACGCTCTTCTCATGAGGCAAGCATGGCCCAGACTGCCCTGAGCTTCCTTTACAAATCCACTGTTTAAAAATTTTAATACCATAGTAACTCAACTATGGCTCTACTTCTACTCTGTTTCTATGTGAAGGACAAACTCTTCTACATCTGGGCCTCACAATCCTAACTTCCTGCTTAGAAGTTCAGAACATGTCTCTGGCCAAGCTTGAGACTTGGACGTAAGCCAATCTGTGTTTGAAACTCAGTACTGCCATTTAAGCTAAGTGACCTTGGGAAAATGAATTAAAGTATCATAGCCTTTTTTAGTCATATGTAAAGTGAAGATAATTATAAATATATGGGAAGATTACATGCGATTACATAGAAAACTATGTACAACATAGGTGCTGATACATATTTATTAGATAAAAGAATGACTAAAAGAGTCAATACATAGATGAATAAGACCCACAAAAAATTGTCAGCCTTGCTAGGGAGGTAGGCTCAACACACAGAATGTTAAAAATCAGTGTGTGTGGAAATGTGATGTAGACCCATTGTGAGAGAGAGACATGAAGACATGAATATAGGTTGAAGCAGTCATTGAGGAGCCCGGGCTGAAGCTCAACTCAGAAAGATTAGTGTTACTGAACATTAGTATCACTGAAAATAATGTTCTCTAATTTCTATGCTTATATAAAATGTATTTATATAGGCTATACTTTGTAGCATATAACTCATATACGCTACACTTTGCAGCATATAAAATACATTTACATGCCTTGGAACCCTCTCAAAATCTTTATGGGTAATTAGGACTTACCAAAGTTAGGAGATAAGATTACTCATAACTGACAGATAATTTAAGGAACTTTCCAATGTGGTCTTGTGAGAACAAATTTCCCTGAATCCAGCTCCAGAAATATGTCCTGTTACAGGACCCTGGCATCTCAAGAACAGGTGGAAGGAAGGAAGGCAGTGGAGTCTAGATACAGAAGAATGTCCATAAGGAAGAAAAAATAATAGCTACTATGTTTTGATTGCTCATTGAAACAAATACTCTACTAATTGTTTTCTTTGCTTTATTTTGGTCAGTCCTAACAGTCAATAAAGTAGCTTGTTATTTGTTTTTTACAGTTTTTATTTATAAGCTGTGTGGCCTTGAGCAAATGACTTAACCTTTCTAAGACCTAGTCTCCTCATCTGTGAGGATAAAACCTACCTGACAGTGCTGTTATTATAATTAAGTAAGATTATGCATATATAACATCTATTGGGCACTATAGCTCTTATTATTACTGTAACTTTTTAAAATAATTATTTGTTTTGTCATGGATGAGTAAGTAAAAGATGAACTAAAAGTCAGTTGTTTGAGAGCAAAGCCCTTGCCCTTAATTAGCAAACGGATCTGCCCATTTTTATAGCTCTTTGTTACCTTGCTTACTGCTGTCACCCAATAAATCTGAATGTGGGGGCTTGGCCTAGGTACTTTGACTACTATCGGCTGTACAAATCCTATAATGACCTCGTGCTGCTGACAAACTATGAAGAGAGGAAGATGGGCTATGGTGATGGCAGTGGAAATGTTGTGTACAAGAACTTTATGTACTTTAACTACTATGGCACAAGTGACATTGCCAAGACGGACATTTCCTCCAACACCCTGGTGCTGCGGCATCCGCTACCTGGTGCTACCTATAACAACCGCTTTTCCTATGCTGGTGTGCCCTGGAAGGACATAGATTTTGCTGGTGATGAGAAGGGGCTGTGGGTTCTCTATGCCACTGAGGAGAGCAAGGGGAACCTGGTTGTGAGTCTTCTCAACACTAGCACCCTAGAAGTGGAGAAAACCTGGCACACCAGCCAGTACAAGCGAGCCCTGTCAGGGGCCTTCATGGCCTGTGGGGTGCTCTATGCCTTATGCTCACTGAGCACCTGCCAAGAAGAGATATTTTATGCTTTTGACACCACCACTGGGCAGGAGCGCCGCCACAGCATCCTGTTGGACAAGATGCTGGAAAGGCTGCAGAGCATCAACTACTGCCCCTCAGACCACAAGCTGTATGTCTTCAATGATGGTTACCTGATAAATTATGACCTCACCTTCCTGACAATGAATAGCAGGCTACCAAGACCACCAGCCAAGAGGACCTCTGGGGTTCATGTTTCACCAAAACCTGTCAAACCTAACAAAGCTTTCAGACCCTGAGACCCCAGGGCTGGGCAGAGCATTGGTAGATGCATGTCCTCTTTCTTACCTCCAGGAGGACCATATCCCAAAATGGTGATTGGCCCTAATGATTGGGAGGCATTGATCATACGTAGTGAGTTCCTTATGTAATTAATATCTCAATCAGCACATTAAGGTTCCCTTTAATCATGATCTAGGTGGATTGGATAGGAAAAAAGTAAAATATTAGCTAACAAAATGGTACCCTTTCTTTCTGATGCTTTGGCGTCTTATATTCCTTTTGGAGAATCATAAATCCAGCTTCTAGAACTTGAGAGCTCTGTGATCTAGAATTGTCAGTCTCAGGTTGGGAACATCAGATTCCAGTGCAGAAGCTGCAGGGGAACTGGTCATTAGAGTGGGATATGCAAGTTCCCTTTCTTATCTCTACCTTCCTGTGAGGTCCCTGGGGATAAAACGGGCAAAATCTTGGTCTGAAAATCAATTTTCATTGTCCTGGATCGATCTCACTTTTGAGGGCAATTGCAAGAGAAGTGCTTAGGCCTCAGTCTTGCTGTAGTAAGTTAGCAACTGGCAACACAGCATGGTGAGGATCTGACATGGATGGCGCTGGAGGTCTAGATATTCTCAATAAAGAATCATTGGTTTGGTAGCAGAAAGTCTCCTGGCCAGCTGTCTGTCATCCCTTAGATTGTCCTCAATACAGGCTTGAATTGTATTGAAGCTCAATACAGGCTTGAGCTCTTTGCTTGTTCCTTACCTGTCTGTGTTGTGTTTCTCCCTCTCCAGGCAGGTTGATGGAACATATAAAATCCAGACCCTGAAGCCTTCCTTGTAACACAGAAATGCATATACTTTCATATATACATTCAATGAGACATATATGTTCTCACTCATATAAAAATTATTTCCAACTGCACCTAAACATCAGCATAGACATAAATACACATTTTAACATATCTAATAACAGAAATGTCATCAGCTTCTAAATAAAAATCAAACACAATTCTCCAAATTTATATGGGACCAATAATCCAGCTTTTTAGTTACCTGCACCTGTCCCCTTAAGAATTTTACTGCTAACCATCTCCTCTCCCATCTCTTGATTTACAGACAACATTCCCCCTTAATGCTTTGCCATAAAGGTGGCACACAAGAGTGGGTTATAACATTGAAACAAATCATTATAAAACTTCTGCTATAATGACAGGTAGAAGAGATCAAGTGATATGTGTTTAACACATGTATTATAAAAAACAGCTAATTCATATTTAGTTTGGAATGTCCTTATGAAGAGCCTTCCTGGTTACCTGTACTCCTGCTTCCTAGGACAGAGGAACATTTTCCCCACCATATGGGAGCACAATTAAGTTTAGAATCCCAAAATCTAGACTGTAAATAAGGCCCACATTTCCAGATCATTAAAACAATTAAAGAGCTCCTCCCTATGACAGAGACTGCATTCTTACAGGAGTGTGGTTTTATCTATGGCTTCAGAAGACCCAACTTTTCATACAAGTCTGACATCCCTATAAGGAACATACACATAGTATCACATGGAAACACAGTTTCCACATTTAAAATTTGGTTTTTATTTACTTTTCTGTGTTCTCACTGGTTCTATCCTGAGAACTTCGTCCCTATTTTCTGGAAAACTATTTTAATTTATTGTAGGGACCTGGATCCCTGTTTAATTTATTGTAGGGACCTGGCCCTCCTTCCCCAGCTGGTCCATGGTGGATGTGAGGCTAGCGCTGACATCACAATACCCCTTTTCTGAAGATTCACGCCCTGGGTGGGTGGGGTAGGAGGAGGGGTAGCCCTAGGAGAAGTCATAACCACTTTATCCACCATGGATGAAGTATGAATCAGTAGCCACGCCAGGCCTCAGCTGGGTCACATCTGGAGAACTGGGGTGAGGGCACAACATCGCAAAAACCTGGCCCCAGCCTGGTCACTCATCCCTTTTTGGGCAACAAGAACACTATCCTGTGGCCTGAGAACAGAATCTGAGACAAAGGCCAGCAGAAACATTATCCTGCCCTCACCCTTTCTGCCCCTGCTTCCTCCTGCTCCCTGTCTGTCTGCCCATTTAAAGCTCATGCATGCCATCTCCTGAACATCCAGGATGTCCCAGAGTGGACATTCTTCAGGTCTTCCTGCAGACAAAAATATCTCTTCAAGTGCCACTCAAGTGATAGTGAAGACTGCAGGCAACCAGAAAGACTTTATGGTGGCTGACGACATCTCGGTGAGGCAGTTCAAGGAGAAGCTATCGGCTCACTTCCAATGCCAAATGGACCAACTTGTGCTGGTCTTCATGGGCCGTCTTCTCAAAGACCATGACACGCTGAGCCAGAGGGGCATTATGGATGGTCATACCATCTACCTGGTCATCAAGTCCAAGCACGGCTCCAGATCTCTGGCCCATTCCTTCCAGGACCTGCCAATGAATGATCCCTGCCACCGGGACAGAAACACTGAAGGAAACAGCAGTGGGGTGCACCAACCAACAGGTATGAATGAAGCTCCAGTGGAATTGGCCCACTATGTGGGATCTGATACACCCAAAGTGTATACCCAGAACTTGGAAGTGAGCCATCCAGAGCACATGGCACAGATGCTGGAGAATCCTAGCATTCAGCGGCTTCTGTCCAACATGGAGTTCATGCGGCAGTTCAACTTAGAACACCCAGACACGCAACAATTGATGCAGCGGAGCCCAGAGGTTTCCCACCTTCTTGACAATTCTGAGATCTTATGGCAGACTCTGGAGCTGGCCAGGAACCTTGCTACCATTCAAGAGATAATGCAGCTCCACCAACCTTCGCAAAACCTTGAATATCCACTGAACCCACAGCCGTATCTGGTCTTAGAGACAATGCCAGGTGGGAATGATACCCTGGGTCAGAACTGTGCTGATGTCAAAGATCAAATGCTGAACAGCATGCAAGATCCTTTTGGAGGAAACCCTTTCACAGCTCTCCTGGCTGGACAAGTGCTGGAACAAGTCCAGTCTTTATGTCCAACTCCACCACCGTCCCAGGAACGACGAGACCAGCTCCCACAGCATCCTACAACCCGAGTCATTTATAATAGCTCTCGTGGTTTATCTTTAAACATTTCAGCCAATGACACCCCCAACAAGGTCAACCACACTTCCAAGGTCAACACTGCTACAATCTCCACCAAGGGCCATAGCCATATCTGTGCCTCTAAGCAGCCAGCTGGGATACCAGCCTTACCTAGCATACAGTTTACCCAGCAGCCTCAAGAAGAATACAAGGATGCCACTGTTTCTCTAAGTAGCTCCGGACAGATATTAGAGGGTGATCTCCAGCTGTCAGATGAGCAGACCAGTTCCCAGGTCACAGGAGGCATGACGCAGTCGCTTATGAACACCCCCTAGCTGGCAGCTCAGATTATGTTGTTCATGAGTATGCCCAGGCTGTCTAAACAGTGGAGGCAGCAGTTGCCCACATTCCTGGAGCAGACACAGATTTCTGACCTGCTTATTGCTTTAGCCAACCCTAAAGCATCACAAGCAATATTGCAGATGGAGCAGGGTCTCCAGCTGCTGGCCATAGAGGGTCCTGTTCTTCTGCCTTGGGTTACACCCTACCTATGGGGCCTGGGTTGCCTTCCTGCCCCGAGCTGAAGCTACCTTGACACAGTGCCCCAGTCCTGAAATATTCCAGCTATAGCTGTGCCCAAGGGACCTGAGTGCTGCCACAAGTCTGGAACAGTCCTTCAGAGGCTACAGCTCCCAGATGGGGATGCTTCCCACCCTCTGCAAGCTCCTGAGATTTGTTTTGGCAAACAGATGGAATCTCTCCAGGCTCCCCGGGATTTGGGAACCATCATGCCAATCTACAGGCACTCATTGCTACTGAAGGGGACACCAATGCTGCTACCTGCAAGCTCAAGACATTGCAGATTCTAACCACCATGCCTACTTCTTTGCTTGCTACCTGCCTGCTAACCCACCTGAACATCTCATTTGCTATTTGCACCTCTCCTGATGCTTCCAGCCAGGAGAACTCCTGGAATAGGAGTTATCAACCAGTGCTTCCTGTGCTGAAAAATAGATCATTGGCCACGGCTGGAACATCTGTCAATAAAATGGCTACACCTGCTTGCACTGATCTGAGGTTTGACTTTACTTCTTTTATTTAAAAAAAAACTGTGTGATATCTTTGTCTCACCTACTATACATACGTTAACACACAAACCACATGCACATATTAGTATAGAAATAAAAATAATGTTTTTATCTCTAAAACGTGAGCATTTTGAGCGTGGTATATGAAACTTCAGCATGGTATATGAAACTGATTATTTTGAGCATGTCATCTCAGACAGGCACATGTATGTATACAAGCTCACATAGTAAAAGATTCACATACACAGGCATACAGAGTACACATACGAGTATACATAGTCATGTGCAAACACAGATGCAAATACCTAGAGACAACTAAACAGACCCATGCATAGGGAAAACCATCATAACATGCTCAAACAGAAAGAAACATATTACATAGATAGGTCCAGATACTGACTCATAAGACTGAATTTCTCAAACCCAAATTGTTCAAGTTTGAGAGTGGAAAAGGAATAATACGTGGGCCAGAATATGGTAAATTTACATATCAACCCAGCCTAATGAACAGTCATCATTAGAGCCTCTTACTAATTGACATTGCCACCATTATAAGATGGTGATGGGCTGTCACCAATTCTTCTTTAGCACACACAGATGCAGCTGCTGCCATCTCCATTATGTAACCCAGTCACCACAAATTCAGCCCTCCACGCGGCACAGCACCTTCCAAGTGTATCATCTCCTTCAGCATATCTTATGTTTGTAGTTTGCATTTTCCATGGTTGCCAATGCTCCATATTTTTCTCTTTCTGCCTCACCTGGAGTATCCCAGCGTGGCAAGATATGCAATTACTTGTGTTTTAATTTTTCTATGATTAAATAATTTAATACACTCTTATCATAATAATTCAATGTTGTTTTAGGCATTGAAAAATTGCAGTGAAAAAACAAAGATCCTTTATTTATTGATTTCACTCTCCTTTGTGGAGATACAAGTTTTGTTAGGTGGTAAATGCTGTGACGTAAAATGAATCAAAATGAGATATTCTACATAAGGCAATCAGGGAAGGCCACTCTGAATAGGTGCTGACGTTTGAGCAGAAATCAGAAGTAATCGGAGAACTTTACATGCATCTCACTGAGACAAGGATGATCCAGTGGTTGTCTGAAAGTAAAAGCACCGAGGTAGCATTATTCCTGCTATGTTTACAAGAAGGTGATGTAGCTGAAATGGACAAAAAGGAGGGGTGATGGGGATGAAGTCAAAGAGATTGTGAAAAGTTTTTTTTTTTTTTTCCAAGACAGAGTTTCACTCTTGTTGCCCAGGCTGGAGTGCAATGGCACGATCTCCACTCACCACAACCTCCACCTCCTGGGTTCAAGCGATTCTCCTGCCTTAACCTCCTGAGTAGCTGGAATTACAGGCATGTGCTGCCACGCCTGGCTAATTTTGTATTTTTAGCAGAGACAGAGTTTCTCTATGTTGGTCAGGCTGGTCTCGAACTCCCCACCTCAGGTGATGCACCCTGATTACAGGTGACAGCCACTGAGCCTGGTTGATTGTGAAAAGTTTTATAGGTTCTGGTGAAAACTTTGGATTTTACTGTGAATTTAATAGACAGTCACTGATGAGTTTTGAGCAAAGAAATTAAGTAATTCAGTTTATCAGTGTGGCTTCAGAGTAGAGAACAGACTGTGGTAGAGGAAAACCAGGGAAGCAGGGAAACCATTTAGGAGGCTTTTACAATAGAGCAGTTGAGAAATAGTAGTTTTTTGCACTAGGATGGTAGCAGGGGAGGTGGTGAGAAGTAGATTCTGGACTCTAAAGGCGGCCCACACAAAGGAGATTTGTGTGCTCAACAGACCACCTTTTCTGAGCCCCAGCACGATCATCAGCAATAGTGGATGGGCCTACAAACTTCCAAGTGCTTCTAGAAAGCTCACTGCCAAAGATCCCTACTTCACTTCCATACCTACCAAAAAGATAAGTCTCAAGAAATAAATTACAGTGAAAATGGTTTTTTTTTAACCTCCTCATTTACTATAATTAAGCTTCATACCCTCTTTGCTACAGTTTGCATAAAAAGCTCAAGCTATCCAGGTCATCTTTCTTATTTTCATCACAATATGCTCTGAAAATTCCTCACTTGACTCGTTTTTCTATTTGTCACCCATTTTCCAAGCCTTTGCACCCTACCATTTAGAAGTAAGTCGTAACTTAGCAATAGAGAAACCTACGTATCTACAACCTTCTTTCTAAAGATGATTCTACCTGTTTTCTATAATGGAGATCTGGATGTCCACTGAAGACACTGCTTCTCCAGAAGGCTGCATCTTTGTTTCCCTTGGACTTGGAGGTGGACAGGTGTCATTCTTGCACCGTCTTGCTGCTTCTCAGCCCAGATTTCTGGCTCCAAATCACTTCATGCTCCATGGACATAATAATTGTGGCATAATACTCGCCTAGTTAACTTCTTATGGTGATACTCAGCTTTTCACTTAGTCTCTGTTTAGGCAAAGAAAAGCATGCAACTGTGCTGACTAGTTCCATTTAAACTTATTACCAAAAGATTTAATTACCATCTTAGTAACCCTAACTGCATTTTCCCAGCCCAGTGATTCTCACCAGCATCTGCCCCAGGATCACCTGGAGGTTGTGTTAAAATACAGATTTCTTTTTTTTTTTATCAGTATTTTAATTTTATTATTATTTTTTTATTTTTATTTTTATTTTTTATTTTATTTTATTTTTATTGCATTTTAGGTTTTGGGGTACATGACACAAGAGCAGAAAATCAAACACCGCATGTTCTCACTCATAGGCGGGTGTTGAACAATGAAAACACGTGGACACAGGGAGGGGAGCACTACACACTGGGGTCTATTGGGGGGAAATGGGGGAGGGATGGGGAGTGGGGAGGAGGGGAGAGATAGCATGGGGAGAAATGCCAGATATAGGTGAAGGGGAGGAAGGCAGTAAAATACAGATTTCTGCACGACATTCCAAGGGTGTCTGATTCAGTAGGTCTATGGTAGGGTTAAAATCTCTCATTTCTCATAAGTTTCCAGGTGATGCTTATGCTTATGCTTATGATGGGGATCATACCTGGAAATGTCTTAGCTAATTTGCTACCTTATTGTTAGTCCAATCTGCACCATTTTGTAAACTCCCCCACTATTTTGCAGATCTTGGTCAAAGTGAAACATTTCACGGGAGTTCAGGCTGTGAGAAACATCCTGTCACAAGACAGACAAAGGCCCATCTAAAGTTACATCTCTATCATATCTTGCTGTCCAAAGGTCCGATGAGCATCATACTGACATCCCACCAAAATGAGGACCAAACTGCCTCATCATGAGAACATTTTATCAATATCTTGCTGGGCAGCAAGTCATATTGTCCAGACCCTTCTCGCCCATACCTATAGATTGGCCCAGCCTATAAGCAGTGGTGGGCTCTGGCATTAGGTTCGTCCCACACTTCCGTGGGTTTTATGCTGGACATAAAGCCTGCATTTGCTGTGTATGTGTGCGTGTGTGTGTGTGTGTGTGTGTGTGTGTGTGTGTGTGTGTGTGTGTCTTTCTTTAACTCTTGCTTTCCCTTCAAAACCTAACACTTACTCTTTCAGATGATTATTTTATATCTTGTTTTTTCTTCTCAAATCTTTAATATCCACTTCTTAATCTAAATCTTACCTAAAGCTGTGCTTATTTTTAACAAGAAAGACAATAATAATCAGAAGAGACTTCTACCTGGGTCTACCATGAAAACAACCAACTAGCTTACGACTGTCCCAATACACTCTGCCTCCCAGTCTGCTATCATGAATAAACTGTTCATATTCCTAAACCAAGCTCTCCACATGGGCACTTGCTCTCAGTCTCTCTAACTTATCTATTTGAGAACTTAATAGTTTTCCCTTCCTCATGCATCAGTTTTTTTCTACTCACTGGATTGTTTCCATCAGAATATAAACATCATACACTATTATCTTAAGAAAAAAATCTAAAAAGTCATTAACCTCACATTCCCACATAGCAGTTATCCCCTTTCTTGCATTTGTAATTCTCTTACTAGATCTAGTTTTTCCCAAAGCATTTGCTTGTAAACACACTCTAATCAGTCTTCCTCCTCTACTATTCTTCCAAAGCTAGTCTCATCATGGTCTCCAATTCTTTATTTTTCAAATTCAGTGGCCAATTCTCAGTCCTCATCCTGCTAACCTAGCAGCATCATTTGACATGGTTGGTTACTCTCTCCTGACCTAGCAGCATCATTTGACATGATTGGTTACTCTCTCCTTTTTGAAACTCTTCTTTGGCCTTTCTCTTTTCTCTCTCCTTTTTTTCCACCCTACTGTTTTATTTTTTTCTCAGTTTCCTTTGCCAAATCCCTCTGATCTTCCAGATTTCTAAATGTAAAGCCACAAGACTCACATTTTAAATTCTCTATTATTTTCCCTATATGCACTAACTAGCTAATCTAAACCAGTCCTGGATGTTAGATACCCTTTGAATGCTAATGAGCTGTGGACTTATAATATTCAACTACCATTCTATATCTCCATTTGTATATAAAATGGGCATATCAAATGTATGGAAAACTGTTGAACAACCTGCTAATTTAGAAAACATGCTTATTTCTAATCTTTAACTTAGTGAACATTCAATACTTTCAGTTCCTTTGGGGGATAAGAGTTTCAAGTAAAAAAAGTTATGTTATGTTTGACTCTTCCCTTCTACTCCAAATCCTGTTGATCAGCAAATCAATACTTTGAAAATATGTAAAGAATTCATGTTAATGTTGAATAAGACAGAAAACTGGGACATCGGATAACAGGAAAAAGTCCCTGGACCAGGAAGTCGCTGAATGTGGGTCTGAATGGAGACAGAGGACTAGGAGATATTTTATAATTTCCAATCCCAGTCTGAGCCTCCACAGAAGTCTCTGCAAGAAGGCACTTGAGGTGGAGGAAGTAGAAGTGGTAAAGAAATGGGAGAGCAAGAGTTCCCAGGGATCCAGAGCTCCTTAGAAAAGACTCAAAAATCCACTGTGTGAGGCTGTGATGTCAGAACTGAGGTCACAGAAGGGACCTGAGAGTGTGGGTTCTGGCCCAGAAGGCCTCGGGAGAGGCTGTGCAGCAAGATGAGGGAGGTCTGGAGCCCTGCATAAAGAGAAGGACAGGACCACCACTGCCTGGTATGTACACCCCGGCCTAGGCCCTTCCTCCCACCTTTGTCCCTGTACTCATCAACTACAGACCTCTTTCCCAGGGCCCTGCATTTCCCTCCCCTGACTCCAGCATTTCCCAATCTCATAATCCTCCTAGAGCATCCTTTCCCAGAAACATCATGGTCCCTTTCATGTAGACCCTGCAGTTTTCCCTATCCTGATACTCAAGCCCCTTTTCATGCTCATCCTTCCTACTTTTGCCATTGCCTAAAAGGATGATCTTCGTCTCCCATCCCCATGCCCCCAGCTGTGTCTCCACAGACCTGGGCTTGAGGCCTCCCACTATCACCATGGCCAAAGGTGGAGAAGCCCTGCCACAGGGCAGCCCAGCACCAGTTCAGGATCCCCACTTCATCAAGGTGACAGTGAAGACACCCAAAGACAAGGAAGATTTCTCAGTTACAGACACATGCACCATCCAGCAGCTGAAGGAAGAGATATCTCAGCGCTTTAAGGCCCACCCTGATCAGCTTGTTCTAATCTTTGCTGGCAAAATCCTCAAGGATCCTGACTCACTGGCACAGTGTGGAGTGCGAGATGGCCTCACTGTCCACCTGGTCATCAAGATGCATCGTCGTGCCTTTGGCAGTGAGTGCCCAGCTGCCCCTGTCCCTTCCCCAGGCCCAAGCCCTGGATCACTCCCTCAACCAGGCTCCATTTACCCAGCAGATGGGCCCCCTGCCTTCAGCTTAGGTTTCCTCATAGGCCTCAATGGGCTGGGCTTGACCTCCAGTGGCTTCCCTGACCAGACAAGCTCACAAATGCGGCAGCATGTGTCTATGCCTGAATTTGTGGCTCAGCTCATTGATGACCCCTTCATCCAGGGTCTGCTGTCCAACACGGGCCTGGTGCGCCAGCTGGTTCTTGACAACCCCCATATGCAGCAGCTGATCCAGCACAACCCTGAGATTGGGCATATTCTCAACAACCCTGAAATTATGCGGCAGACACTGGAGTTTCTACGTAACCCTGCCATGATGCAAGAGATGATGCGTAGCCAGGACCGGGTGCTTAGTAACTTGGAGAGCATTCCTGGTGGCTACAATGTGCTGCGCACTATGTACACAGATATTATGGACCCAATGCTAAATGCAGTCCAGGAACAGTTTGGTGGCAATCCCTTTGCCACTGCCACTACTGCTAATGCCACCACCACCACCAGCCAACCTTCTAGGATGGAGAATTGTGACCCTCTCCCTAACCCCTGGACTTCCACACATGGAGGCTCAGGTAGAAGACAAGGAAGGCAGGATGGGGATCAGAATGTACCTGACATTAGAAATACAGTTCCAAACTTTCTGGGTAATATAGGGCTCTATGACTATCTCCAGCAATTGCATGAGAACCCCCAGTCCCTAGGAACTTATCTACAGGGGACTGCATCGGCTCTCAGCCAAAACAAGGAACCACCACCACCACCACCAGTAAACAGAGTTCCCCCGTCATCACCCTCATCTCAGGAGCCTGGGTCAGGCCGGCCTCTCCCCAAGGAATCAGTAGCAATCAAGGGAAAGTCCTCCTGCCCAGCTTTCCTGAGATACCCCACAGAGAACAGTACTGGACAAGGTGGAGACCAAGATGGTGCGGGGAAAAGCTCTACTGGACATAACACAAACTTGCCTGATCTTGTCTCGGGCCTGGGAGATTCTGCCAACAGGGTTCCATTTGTTCCCTTATCCTCTTCCTCCACAGCAGCCACTACTGGAATCCCTGAGCCTCCCTGGCTGCCACCCCCAGTTTATCCAAGATCTCTGAGGCCAGGTGGCATGAATCTGGCTCCACACTTGCAGGATGAGATGCAACCACAGCTGCCACTGCTAATGCACCTTCAGGCAGCTATGGCAAATCCCCGTGCTGTGCAAGCCCTGCTGCAGATTGAGCAGGGTCTGCAGGTCCTAGCTATCGAAGCACCTCGCCTCCTACTCTGGTTCATGCCTTGCCAAACAGGGGTGGGTAGTACGGCAGGAGGTATAGAGTCTAGAGAAGATACCCTTCTGTCTGAGGATCCTCTCCCAAATCCACCTCCTGAGGTGTTCCCAGCACTGGACTCTGCAGAGGTGGGCTTCCATTCCCCTCCCTTTCTCGATATGCTGCAAGATTCACCTAGTACCAACCCCCAGCAGCTGCAGCCTGAGGCTCACTTTCAGGTGCAGCTGGAGCAACTGCGGTCCATGGGCTTTCTGAATCGTGAAGCCAATCTTCAGGCCCTCGTTGCTACTGGGGGCAATGTGGATGCTGCTGTGGAGAAGCTGAAGCAGTCATAGGAGTCCTCGTCATTCAGACCATATGTTTTCCTCTGTGCCTTTTCCCCATATCCTATTTCCCTAGCTCTCCCATTCTTGCATACAGCTGCATTATAAACCAAATTTACTCTGATGCCCTTTATTGTGGAGGCAATGTTGTTCCAGAGTCAGTGAGGAAGACAAAGGGCCAGAACAAAGTGGAGGTGCTGTTTATAAGTCAACCACTGGCACCACTATACCATCTATACCATCGGTGGGGGGGGGGCAGGTCTGAGCTCTGCTTATGCCTATCTTGAGATGCAATTACATCCAATCTCCAGTGTCGACTTGCCTGAGTCTCATTCTTGTGGGCTATGAGAAAAAGGAAGGATGTAGGAGAAGAGGTGGTGATAAGGGCTGTCTCTATATGGATGGAAGGACTTGGAGGGAAACTAAAAGATCTGAAGCTAGAAGACTCACATGTATGAAGAACAGTGGAGGAAATGTTGCTGCAACCCTTTGAAGGTTGAGGCCTGCAACTTTCCTGGTGTTCTTTCCGTGTTTCTTCAGATTTTGTAAACTGTAGTAGCTACTACCTGGTGCTCTGGTTTTCCGAACTCCCTACCACTAGCCTGACTGAAAAGTGGGTACAGTTTCTTATTTTTATTTCCCCTGAAGATTATCCCCCAAGTGCCTTTTACTTCCAGGATTTGATGCTAATCTCTGAGCGGATAGAGATAGAGCAGCAAAGGTGTCAGGGTGACTTCTCAGATTCCTGAATCTCACTCTGTTTATACAGTCCCTTGTAGCCTTGTAGCGAGGTTCAAAGAGATAATTTTTTTGCAACTTCGAGCTCAAAATTGAAGTCCTACTCTGTGTATAGCATTCTGCTAGTTATTAGGAATTCAATATGAGCAAAAGAGTTTTACTCACTGCCCTGTCCTTATGAGTTTATGATCTTATAGCAAGAAATATGCAAATTGTGACTATACCATTTGCATTATTGGTGATTACAAACTATGAGAAATGCTGTAAAGAAAAAGGTGAGTAGCTGTGAAATAGCATGATCAGGGGCTTGACCTAGTCTGGGGAGACAGAAAGTGAGTCTGTACTGCAAACTAAAATCCAAAACGTAGTAAGAATTAAGTAGGTAAAGCTTTGAAGGACGAGGGGAGAGCTTTCCGGCAGAAGAGCCATTATGCACAAAAGCACTGAGGTGGGATGTGCATAACACATGGAAGATGTCTTTGGCATCCCAGACTAAATTCTTGTTTGCATTCAATGATGCTTTTCACTACCCATGTACTTCTAGGGTAAAAGTGTTACAATTCATAAATCAAGCCAATAAATCATGCTTTCTAGTCCATATGCAGATAAATGTGTCAGGTAAACACACTGCAGAGAAATGCACAAACATACAATGCATATCTACTTAAATACATCTTCACATGGGCACATTCTCTGTACACATGTACAAGCATACATACAAAACACAGTCTGTTAAATCAGAGTTTCATTGCAAAATGGAAGTGTAAACATACGAAACATTCTCATTATATTCCAATTAAGGAGGTAAAGAGGTCTTTTTGGAGGATACCTAAAAGTGGCTGTGGTGTGTGTTTAGATGTCAAAGAGTCAGTACTGGGAGAAAGGGAACCTCTACTTGGAGCCCAGGATATTTTGATCAGCCTGTGTAACTGAGTTAGTAGCGCATGGCTTAAAGGAGATAAAAGCAGCCTTAGGGGAAACATTTATTTTAGCGATTTAGGTTTCAGTGTCTAGGTGGAGCACAAGGCTCCTGATATGATTTGGCTCTGTGTCCCCATCCAAATGTCACCTTGTAGCTCCCATAATTCCCACTTGTTGTGGGAAATGATTGAATCATAGGGGCGGGTCTTTCTCGTGCTGTTCTTGTGATGGTGAGTGGGTTTCACGAGATCTGATGGTTTTAAAAACCGAAGTTGCTCTGCACAAGCTCTCTTCCTGGTAAGATGTGACTTGCTCCTCCTGGCCATGGTTGTGAGGCCTCCCCAGCCATGTGGAACTGTAAGTCCAGTAAACCTCTTTCCTTTGTAAATTGCCCAGTCTCTGGTATGTCTTTATTAACAGCGTGAAAACAGGCTAATACAGCTTCAATGCCCCCTCGCTCCACTCCCCTTACGGGGTTAGTTTTTATCCAGATTAAAGAAAAACCTATTGTTTATGGTGGTCCTAGGGGAAATGAAGAGGAAAGTTTTGCCTCTCCATTTTCTTCAGCTCATAAGCTGAGTTCTCTGGGTCTGCCTCTGACTAGGACAGATACACATTGAACCCATAATTTCCATTCTTGGAAGTCCAGGTAGGTCTGAGGAAAAAAAAAAAAAGAAAACTCATGGAAAGAAATGTTACTGCCTTTATCTGCCTTCCATCTGGGCCAAAGAAAGCCTCAGGCTCATGTGAAATTAAGCCCTGCTCATCAGGGAAGACAGCAGGTGAATTGGGTCTAAAAGTCTTAGCTAGGGAAAGGGGTGTTCATTTAGTGGATGATTCTCTTGCCATAACCTCTTGAGAGTCCTCCACAATTGATTGGGTGCTGGGAATCCTTGCTCTAGCTTCCAAGAGTAAAGTCATCAGCTTTATGCCTGGTTCCAAGGTGGTGAATTCAGGAGAAGGAGGCTTCTGGGGCAGGGAGGGTCACTGTGTTCTACCTAGCAACTAAGGTAGGGCCTGGTATGTGGAAAGTGTGCAATCAATGATTGAATGAGTGTTAAATGATGAGTGAGTAAGTGAGTAAACAAATGAGAAAGTGTTTAGGGACACTGGGTAGACACAAATCAAATAAAAGATACCACAGGACCAGAGCTTGAGCTTGGGAAAATAAAGGCTATTAGAATTTTAGTGGGAGGAGGTTCCTGCAGGCTGAATGTGGCTGAAAGAGCAGACCTCCTGGAATTACCATCTGCTGTCCCTTTTCTTACTGTCTATCAGCCATGGCCCAAGATCAAATATGGGTTGTGGAAGGGCAGAATAAGGGGTTATACAGGTGGAGAAGAGAAAATAGAGTCACAGAGTTTTGGTCATGCTGGGCCTACTGCCTAGATCTTTCCAAAGAAATTGTACTCTTTCTTTAGACCAAGAGATTTACTAGAAAGTAAAAAAACAAACAGGGTAAACTCTGGAGTACTGACAGCTGATTTGCATAACAATTAGCCAGGAAAGTAGATAGCAGTTAAGGAGAAAGGTATCCAAACAATATAAAATGTTTTTAAGCATCTGTGTTATTTCCTCTTTTTTTTTTTAAATGGTATCCTAATAGCTTCATCATAAACACATGTCTGTATTTTTTCAGTATGTTTTAGGGGTTCATTACTTATATTTATTTAATATTAATAATAGCTAACACTTGTTAAGACTTTACTATATGTCAGGTCCTGTTCCAAGCTTTTTACATCTGCTTCCACACAATAGTCCTTTAGCACAGATATTAGCAGTGTCCCTATTTTATGGATGAGGGCAGCTGAGGCAAATGAAGAGGGGACGTACATCACTTAAAGTTGTAAAGCTTCTTCATATTACAGCCAGGATTAGACAGTCTAATTCCAGAGCCCATACTCTTAATCACTGCAATAAATCAAGTTAATTTAATTTATGTGTTAATCCCTACCCCTAAAAAAGTAGAGCAGGGCAGAATTTGTGATATTAAAATTTTTACACCCCTGAGTCCTGCAAATATCTACACTGCATTAAAATGTCTTCTTTACCACATCCTACATATGTGTACATGCTTTGTTTCTTTGCTTTTTATCTACTAGTACTACACTTCCTCAATTATTTTAACTTCGAAATATTTAATGACAAAAAGAATAATGCCTGGCATTGCAAAATACCTTTGGCTAATTTTGTCTGTTTTTCCAAGTACGCTTTATAGCAGATGTCAAATTTCAGAAAAGGCCAAATGAGATTTTGATTGGCTTTCTATTATATTTATAAATTGGAGGAATATTGAGAAATTTGCAGTAGGCAGTCTTTCCTTTTAAAATAGGAAATGTTTCTATTTATTTAAATTTTGTTTCTTTCTAAAAAAATATAGTTTAAGTTTTACACATTGGATTTATTTAAACATGATATTTTCTGGTTGTTATTTTGAGTGACAAATTTTTAATTATATTTTCTGAGTGAATTAGACTGTGATGAAACTGCGCTATTATCAGTTACTGTATTATCACTTCAGGTTGTTTTTTTAAATTGATATTCATGCAATCAAGTGTACACATTGTTGATGCCCAGCACAAGGCTCTGAGTACCCGTGGCTCCCGCATTGGCATCATCCTGGCTGTCTGCATTGTGCCTTCTCATTCCTCATCCACAGCTTTGGCCACGGTGGAGTCCCCAAGCATGTGCACATCTTTCTGGTTACTCTCTGTCTGCTGCAGCCTCCTTTCTTGAACATAGTTACCTAGGGACTTGAACCAAACAGATTTGGAGTCAAGTCTCTTTGTGAGGCTGCTTCACTTGGAAAAGAATTCGGCCTAACCTATCAATCTGAGATAGAAAACAAGGAGAGTATAAAAGCTATGGTGAATCGTTGATAAATTTATAAGTGGAAAAGAGAAGCACTATATTATAAACGATGGGACTTGGCTTCTAATATTGGACATATCGCTTTGCCACTCATGAGCTCAGATTTCCTTATTGGTACTGCAAGTGTCTTACAGCTCTAAGAGCTGGGAAGCCTAGCGCCCAGATGGGTCCATCTTCAATTCTGCCGTGGGAGTATAGAGTTCTGAATGCTGTTCCTGCTTCTTACACTAACATCTTGGGTTACACTAAACCTTCTTTTTCTTCCAGAAATAACGTGTGGTTCACAGCAGGAGATTATCAGGGTGGGTATTCTTGGTATTTGTATTGAAAGGTGGACTTTTTGGTCAAATGAAGCCAGGACCTTACGGCAGCAGGTATGAGGCTGACAAAGATGCATCTCTGGAGCAGAACAGATGTTACAAAGGTGTTGAGCACTAACCCCACTCCTACCTCCAGGTTCATTGTACAATTTTTCTCTCTTTTCAAAGTTATTATGCTATTTGGTCCCTTTCGCATGTACTCCTTCAAATTATAAAGAATTTTAATTTTGCTGCTGGTTGCAGGCTGGCATCCTCATAAGAAGCATGAATTTATTTGTCTGTTAAAATAAATGTCCATTTACTAATTTATTTTTAAAAATGTATTTGTATAAATTTTAGGGGTTCATGAGCTATTTTATTACATGGATATGTGGGGTAGTGGTGAAGTCTGGGCTTTTAATGTAACTATCACCAGAATAATGTGCATTGTATCAATTCAGTAACTTCTTATCCCTTACCCCAAT